TTCTGCTCCCCACTCTGTCTCTGGTGAAGCCTCTCGCCACCCCTGAGCCTCTGGCCTGTACCCCAGTTCTGTATGAACAAATAAATAAATCTTTAAAAAAAAAAAAGATAACTTCTCTTTTTCCTCTTGATATGTGGAGAAGGTTTTATAGACCACTGGCAGCACAGACTGTATATCACTGGGCAGTGTTTTCAAAGTGCCGGGAACTTCTGAAACAGAAAGGAACTATTCATAGTTACATCCTTAAGTTTGTAGGCTGATTTTAAATGTTTTCATTCAACATACAAGGCCATTTAACCACAAAAAGATCACCTGCCATCAAGGACTCAGTGTGGAATTATTGAGGGAAGGCAGAGGACTTGGTATTGTAATTGCGACTTTAGAAGGTGCTGGAAAAAGAGAGTAAATACGTTATTTCTCATTCATAAGTGGTTATAAATAGTGGCCTAAGACAAGCAGAAACTATTTCCTTTATGACCACAGAGACACAGGGTTATAGGAGCTCTGGGGTTACTGCTGTATGTTTATACTAGTGCAGTGCTTGATGCGATTATATGGAGATAACCTCAAGGGTTTAAAGGTAGGTTAAAGAAAACTAATAGGTCAAATCTGCACTTGGTTCTGGAAATAGCTAGTAAAAGTCAACCAGTTTGTGTTTCTCCATAACAAAAAAAAAAAGTTTAAAATATGAAACTATTCAGTGTAGATTATAGGTAGTTCTTACTGTGTATGGCAGTGCCGGATCATAAAAACAACGATGCACATCATCCTGATTGTAGAATCAGTGGAAAGTTAACAGTTCTATGGCCATGCATTATTTTTGTGAAAGCATTAAAACTCATACTGTAGGTTATGCATACATAGGAGGGGGAAAGTAAACTTGATATTCATTTAGTTCAGTTCCCTGAACTTGAAAACATTAGAGACACTGAGACTTAATCTGCGTGGTTTCTTTGAATACAATTTATCAAGAGTAGTTTGAACATGTTTGCTTTTTTCTCATTGAGTGACTTGCTGATAATGAATGAGTTTCTCTGATCTTCACCTTCATGAACTCTTAGTCATACTCTCTCCGAGTTTGATCAGCATCCAACTCCTTACCCTTTGTGCTTTCAAAGCTGTGAGAGATCTGAGAGTTCCTGTGACATTACTTCATCCAGGACAGTTTCCTCACATCCTAACCACTTCTCAGTTGATTTTGAGTTTTTCCTATTTCATCACTTCTAGTTTCTTTGCTGTACTTTTGAGTCTGCTTCTGTAGATGTCCTGGGAGTTTCCCTGTGGGCAGAGGAGGCAGCACAGCTCCCTGACCTGCTGTCTGTGTGTCAGCGGGGGAACAGGTGCAGAACCCAGTGCCGACCTGAAGGGACCCTCTTTAAGAGAAGTGAAATGATCAGCTGTGGATCATGGCACTTGTGTTGTTCACATAGTGACCTGTGCGATTTGTATTTTTGGTGATTGGTCCCTACCCTGGGGTAGCTGAAGTTTGAATTATGTCTTCGGGGAACTGGTGTCATTGAATTAAGTCGTGGGAACAAATTCATGCATCCTGGAGCTGTGGAAAATGGGGATTGCCCTATTCCAGTTTTCTGTTTTTGTAGTTCCCTTCAGTCTTGGTCTGACTCCCCTGTCCTCCCACATTGGGTCCACCCATGTGGACTTTTGACTTGACCTTGGTGTCAGCTTTGACTCCTTATTCAGTGTCTCAGTGTTGACCGCTCCCCCCCCCCCCCCCCCGCCCCAATCCCAGTAGAAGAGGAAGCATGTTTCAGAACCTTCCAGGTCAGTAAGGTTGACCTGATTTGCTGCACATCAGGTCCTAGACACAGTTTTTAGATGTGGGTAACTTTTCCCTCCTTCTCCCTTGTCTTCCTCTCTTCCTTGGTCTCTGTTTCTTCCTGTGTTTCTTCCTTTGCACACTGAAGATTCCTCTGTTTGTCACGCTGCTTTGCATTTCTTTGAATTCCTGTTCGCATTATCTGAATCTATGTGCTTTTTCAACTTGTAGCTCAGTTATTTTAATAGTCTCCTAACTGGCTTTCTCACCTTAATCTCATTCCAACTAACCCTACATACCTTCATGAGAATAATCTTCCTGGAACACTATTTCAGCCTCACTTAATTCTCTCCTTGGAACCTCCACAATATTTTAATGATCACAGAATAAAATCCAAACTCTGTCAGTCCTTTTAAGGACTTGAATTGTCTAAGCCAGGCCTGTGCCTTCAGCCGTCTCCTCCCAGGGGCCCAGGTCTTGTACACAGCAGACCATAATAGCACTCTGACCATCTCCTAAATAGGCCACCCCTGCCCCCCACCCCCATTAGCGCTGCCCTCCTAGGGTGCACTGCTCTCTAGTTTTTAAAATCTTGCACAGTTTCTAGGGTTTATCTCAAATGATCTCTCCTATGAAAATCTATTTTGACTTCCCAGAAGTGATATTTCTCTCACAATCTACTGGATTTACCTTTCAGCTTTCCAGCTGTTACTTGCTGATTTGTATTTTCAGCTACTTTGTGTTACCTAGTTTTGCCAGCTCACTTTGAGGTTCCTTAAGGGCAGGACTGAAACTTCTGTGCTACTTAGAATGGTATATGGTGGCATGGTAGTCATACACCTGTACTTTCTTTCAACCGATAACTATTTTTTGAGCTGCAGCATTCTTCTAGAAGTTAGACTCTAGCATGGTAAGATAAGGTCCTTGTCCTCACTGAGCACCAGTGGAATGAGGTTGCATAAAGCAGTAGCCAGGCAGATGTCGTGCCCTGAGCTGCATGTAATGATGCGCATTGAGAGGGAGAATATGGAGGTGCAGAGGGGTGCCAGGCCCAGAGGAGGGGCACATGGATGCTTCCTGAGAGAAATAGGGTTCAAGAAGAGTTCAAAAGATGATTTGGAGTTCCTTTGGGGAAAGAGCTGAGTGGAAGTGTTCCAGGCAAAGGATGCAGCATGGATGAAGGCAGAGAGGGGCGAGAGGCCCTGCACACACAGGAACTGAGCAGAGTTCAGGGTAGCTGCGTTTAGGACTGAAGGGAGAAGCGTAAGGGACGAGACTTCAGAGGTAGTCGAGGCCTCGTGTTGGGAAAGATGTGGTCATATCAGAGCACTGATGAATGTGAGAAAGAAGGACTGAGTGTTTGGATGGGTGAAACGAACAAGCAATACTCAGGCTTTTCATAAGGACCACTCAGTGATGGAGGGTTTTGGGACAGACTGGGGTTCATTTTTGCATTTGAGATGCCTGTGGCGTATCTACATGGAAACATGTAGTTGGAGTTTGCAGCTCACCAGAAATCTTTCGCCAGGAAATATAAATTTGGGTGATCTCAGTGTATGAAATCATCAAGGAAAAAGCTGTAGAATTAGTGAAGAAGAAGGGTTGAAGACCCAACTCTTAAATCATACCACTATTTAAAGAACAAGTAAAGAGATGGGGTCTGAGAGAATTGGGATGGCCTGGCAGGGAGGAGTAAAGCAGATGAATAAAAGGTCATGGAAAGGAAGGGAGACTGGTGTCTGTTAGATTTAGCAGCATGGAGCCACTGGTGACAGTTAGCCTGTCTGCGTAGCATTTGAGGAGGGGAAGACACCACCAGGCCCCAGCTAGGTCGCTGTGCCTGGAAAACTGAATAGACCATGCCATTAGGAAGTGATTTACAGGTGATAGAGCCAGAAGGAAATAAGAGACTTGATTTTTCTTTGTTTTCCCCTAAGCTGGTGGGAATCAAGTGTAAGGTGAAAATATTGCCATTTCTAAAGACAGTAGGTGGAATTCATTGGTGGTTAATAGGTCGATCATAGCTATATTTAGACAGCATTTGAAATTCCACTTAAAACTGTTCACCTAACCTACCCTTTCTTTCTTTTTTATTTAAAATAAATTCCAAACTGCTGATTGTGCTGGTGTTTCTAGGCTTCACTGTGGTCCTGTTACTCTAACAGGATTGCAGTTTTCTGTCCAACAGGATTCAAACCATTCTCTTTCCTTATTCGGTAGCACTTAATAACTAACTGTCTTGGGTAAGGTAAACTCTCAGCCAATCTAATTTTTAATTTGTTTCTTTGATTATTCTTTGAGGAAGTAATTATTTAATGTTCACTGTGAGCCAGGCACTGTTCTAGGTACAGAGCCAGGCACTGTTCTAAGACAGTTAATAAACTCATAACCAAATAGGAAAACAAAATAATTACAGAATGCTGGAGCTACTTAAAAGGATATTGTAACCAACAATAATCTGGAGTGGCAACTTTATACACATTTCCCATGAATTCTTCTTTCCATTGTTGGGGGGAAAAGAACCACAAGCAACTGGAATTAAGTGACTTAAGATGGAAAGAATAAGAGCAAATAATAGAGACTGTTTTTGTTACAGTGTAGTGACTTGTTTGTTTCTGTCTCTGAAGTCAGTGGGACTGACAACGGCTATCACAGGCTGTGTGTTTTGCGAGTTTTGTTGGTTGCTCATCGCTTCGTATTGCGAAACTGACCAGCTCTCCATACTTTGTCTTTTTCCTTTCAGTTATTTGCCATCTTCCATGCATGAACGGTGGCCAGTGCAGTTCAAGGGATAAATGCCAGTGCCCGCCAAACTTCACAGGGAAGCTGTGTCAGATCCCAGTTCATGGTGCCAGCGTGCCTAAACTCTACCAGCATTCCCAGCAGTCAGGCAAGGCAATGGGGACACACGTGGTGCACTCCACACACACCTTGCCTCTGACCATGGCCAACCAGCAAGGCGTCAAGGGTAAGCTTACTATTTGAATGTTTTGTGCTCATCAGACCTCTTCACCTGCCAGCTCCATACGGAAGCCTGTGTCTGCAGGTGGCCGGGGTTGGTACTGGGACAGGAAGGAACACGTGTGATCTGTGGCCTGAGAGGTGGCAGTTGGGCAAAATGTGGGCCTTGGTATATATCTCTGTACTTTCCAGGCCACACAGAATTGGTACCACGGAAAAGGCAGTTTTCGTGACTCTTAGCACCAAGAGCTGACAGAGTGCATGGCACTATTCTGACAGGGCCTGGGAGGTGAACGAGCAAGGAGTGTTCTGGCATTTACATGGTAAGGAAGGAGTGGATTACCCACTCCTCTTTGCAAGTGCCAAGTTTAGTTTGTAGTCCAACACATTTGGTTTTAGTTCTAAATAATCACTTACCCTCACCAGGCTTCATCTGCATTTATCCCTCTGTAGAAGGTAAACTAGAGGTCACTTGGACCTTAGAAATTCGATGACTTCAAACTTTTTGAACTTTGTTTTGCATGCACAATTTTTGAAAAGGTCTCAGAAGTGTTACTAGTTCTCATTCTTGAAAACCTGAATATTAGTTTCAAAAGATGAGCTTGTGTTGGAAAATTCACAGAAAACACATCTTGGTGCAAATACAAAATAGCACACTCTGGTATTTTGTGTGTGCTTGTGTGTGCATGTGTATCACAGGATGCACAAGAGGACACACTCGTTTAGGGATGAGGGAATTATGCTCAAATGGTACTTGTATTGGTAAATCCATTTCTTCAGTAGAAACTGTGAGGCATTCCGAAGTACTCAAACTCTTGAGTCTTTATTACTGTCATCTGATGAAATATACCAGCTTAGGACCAAGGAAGCATGGATATCATAGCTTCATGGTGCCTCTAAAAATAGTTTTGTTTCATGAATGTTACTGTGAGATGTTTTAGCTTCTCTTTTTTAGTTGTAACTTTAGCTTTAAAAATACGTAAGTTCAGGTTCAATTTGTATTTTGAATATCATCAAGAAATTTGATGATTATAAGTCAAAAAGATAACTCTACATGTATAACCTACCGTATGTTCATGTGAGAATGATGTGCATGTGTGGAATTCACTGGCATCTGATTCTCAGCCTAACTCGCCTATTAATTACTTACGTGTAACACATTTCCCACCCCCACCCTGATCTGTTTTAGTGAAGTTTCCTCCCAACATAGTCAATATTCACGTGAAGCACCCTCCTGAAGCTTCAGTCCAGATACATCAGGTTTCAAGAATTGATGGCCCAACAGGCCAGAAGGTGAAGGAAGCTCAGCCGAGCCAGTCCCAAGTCTCATATCAAGGGCTTCCTGTCCAGAAGACCCAGACAGTCCACTCCACGTATTCCCACCAGCAGGTTATTCCCCACGTTTACCCAGTAGCTGCGAAGACTCAGCTGGGCCGGTGCTTCCAGGAAACCGTTGGGTCACAGGTAAGTGCTTTGTCCACCATGTTAGAATGGCAGTGCAGCTTTGGTCTCATTTTAATAGAAAGTCAGACCTGGTAAAATGACTTTCTAGAGATGGGTTTGGCACACTGACCCATGGCCCTGTTTTGTGAATGAAGGTTTCTTGGACCTTTGCATCCTTCAAGTGAAGATCGAGTTTATGCCAAATGCTTCCAGGAGTGGAAACATCATCAATTTAAGCTCAGAAATAGAGCGTGGGTTCTTGGACTCAGTACAGGGTTTGACAGGGTCAGTGGGGCTGAAGGTAAATTTCATCTACTTCACAAATGGAACCCAGACTGTCTCAGGTTGTTGAATCATTTCAGCTTAGGTTGGTCCTATGCGAAGAAAAAAAAACATTGTGTCCAGTGTTTTTCCCATTCATTTTAAAGTTGGAGCAGAGATGATGAGAAGAAACAGGAAATTGAGATATTAGTAAACTTCATATTTCTATGTAGTCACAGTCAGATGATGGCTATCTTAGAAAGGATAAAAACAAATCATTTACTTTTAAACTTAAACTGTACTATATGATCAAATGAAATGGAACATTGATAGTTTCCCAGCTCATTCAAACTCAGTGGAGTACTTTTGCCTTATCTGGATACTTTGGAGGATTTTAATCTGGAAGACTGAAACAGCAATTTCAACTCATAATTCATTTTACTAATACACAGCTTCAAAGTAGGGCCCATTGTAAAAAACATTGACAGCTTGTTTCTTTTTGGCAGTGAGAAAGGTGCCCCATTTAATACTAGCTAGGACGATGCAGCATTGAAAAAACACATTACAGGCAAATAGTCCATAGCACGTAAGATGTAGCCTCCAAAGATGTTAGAAGACATTTGTGCTTTCCTGTCCTGGCTGGTTGGCAAGCGTCGCCAGAGGGAGGTGCATCCCGATTTCGAGTTCAGTCAGAATATTCTTTAAGGTCCCTTAGTTCTGCTGGTCATTGTCTGATATTCTGGTGTTTATTCTGTTGCTGTTTTGTATCAAATATCATCCCTTTTTAAAAGTTCTGTGAGCGCTGTTAGAACTACTCCTTTGAAGTTCTCTTTGGGCATATTCTGCAGTTCTGCTGGGATGAGACTTTTTTATTGATTTATTTTTCCCAGCATTTGTGACATATTCTTCTGTCTCATCATTTTCAGTTTTTATGGATGGTGCTGGCAGTTGACTTTCAGGTGCTTGCCTTTGTGCCTGTTGAGATAATCCAAGAACCAGGATGGGCAAGGGGTTGCATCAATAGAAGAGAACCTGGAAGGAGGGCTCTGAAGCACCCCTCCAGTGAGCATCCAGGTTCATGTCTCCTGCTGTGCTGTGGGCACCAGAGTGGCGTGGCCGGGTCCACCGTGACCAGTCCTCCCAGCCAGCTCGTTGGTCTTGTGGCTCATGTGGTGTCGTCATCGTCATTGGCCAACTCGAGGCTGCAGCTTGAGCACTGGATGCAGCTTGTAGTTGAGACAGGGCCCCAAGCTGAGAGCTGCCCTCTGGGCAGCAGAGAGGCGTATCCAGAGAGGTGCACCTGATGTTAACAGAGGCTAAAACTCTGGTTTGTCAGTGTCTAGTTGTCTCAGTTAGCCCTGGGTGAGGGGAGGTGACACATGGTCTGAACACTGCAGGTTTGGGCTGCAAGTAGGAGCCTCCTCTATGAGGTGTAGGCTCCTCTGCAGGTGTAGGCTCCTGCAGGTGTAGGCTCCTGTGGGTGTGTGGTCTTCTGCAGGTGTAGGCTCCTGCAGGTGTAGGCTCCTCTGCAGGTGTAGGCTCCTGCAGGTGTAGGCTCCTCTGCAGGTGTAGGCTCCACGGTTCTTTCGTGAGGGCTTTCGGCTCCAGCTGGGAGTCCTCACTCTGCACCTGTGCTGCTCTTTTCTCCAGTACATCTTCTGGCCTGGGTGCCCTCTCTGCGCCCCTTGCCCAGCATGGTACTGAGTCTCTAACATTCCCAAAGTGTGCGTGTGCCTCTGAGCCCACACTGCAGGCCTGCTCCATACAGCAGTGCCCTCCCCTATGGGCTTCACTACCCTGGCATTACTGTCATCACTGGTCAGTCCATTTTTCTTACTCACCCCTGCAGACCCTCGTGATGGGTGCTCTGGTTGTCCATTTCTCTTTCAGGGGTTAGTGACTTCGTTCTGTTGCATTTGAGTTGTGAGCAGAGTGGGCGAGCCCAGTGTCTTCCCTTTGCCACCAGATTGCAAGACTCCTAAGTAGATTTCTCAATGTCTGGCCAGACCAACTGCACAAATGCTCGTTACTGCTTTGCTCAAGGAGAACACTCCCGTTAGCTCCAGATTTCAACTACTGAGGTTTTTGGTGCTATAGAGTCATCATTCAGGACCTATGTTGATGTGTTACTGTGAGATGCCATAGGCAAAACCAATGTTGCAGAAATAGCCCTTGTCCCCGTGGTACACTATAATGCTCAGGCAGTCAATTTGGGGTTCAAAATCCAACATGAACTGGGATTATTTAAACTCACCGAAGTGTCATAAAGCAGCATTTCAGGAGATGCTTGGTTGGAGGGGGAAAATGAATAATTAGAAAATCAAGCTTACAGAGAAAGGGTGAGAGTAATTACACTGAGGAAAGAGAATGCTGCAAAATAATAGGTGAGGAAGAAGTGCTGGAAGAGACAAGTAGAATAGCTTTGAATTCTTAGTAGGTGTCTGAATAAATACGAAGATTCTGAGCCTGAGTCCTGGCACAACACATATGACATAGAGAAAAGGTAGAAATTACATGGAGTCCCCTTGATGATCTGATGAGACCCTGGACTCATTGAAGGTGGGTGGCAGACCTGAACGTGCCTCTCGATATAATGCAGCATGAACTTCACATGTCATTCTCGAAACATCCATGCCAAAATGTTTCACCTGAATCTAATCAAGCCTTTATAGAATACTAAGAGTAAAGAGGCAGCCTAAGAAATATTAGGTGCACAAATGCATCCCCAGATTCTTTGAATATTATTTCCTAGTTTCTTTAAGAAATCATATCATGAGCAAATCCCTGGTGGCCTAGTGGGTAAGCCTCAGCTGGATCACTGCTATGGCCTGAGTTCAATCCCCGGCTGACCCACATATGGTGCAGCAGACCTCTTCTGTCTTGCCTGCTGCTCCCCTTAGCAGTTAAATCCTCCTGCTCTGCTCCCCATTCCCTCTGGTGAATCTTGTTACCCCTGCACCTTTGGCCTACACCCCAGTTCTTCTATGTCAAAAAAAAATAGAAAAATCATGAAAAAAGTAAAGATTTTTCTGGCGATAACACATAGAATGCATGAACTTTAACCCTAGTTAAGTAAATGAAAATTAAAGGTATATTTGAAAATTTCTTACCAAAAAAAAAAAAAGGGGAAAAAGTTGAAATTTCCTGGACTTAGAGTAGAATAATTTTAAGCTGAAGTTTAAAGCTACAACTTCAATATGTTTTTACATTTTTAGAGAGTGATTTCAAGTTTCAACATTTGAATGAATAGGATGAGTAGTTGAGGGTGGGGTGGGCATGGTAGACTGGAAAAGCTTTTCTGGGTTTAATTGTGAGATGACCGGGTTCTAATCTAAAAAATAATGCTGAAAATAAAGAGATGAATGTGGGGAGTTTGGTGAAGACTCACACATCGGGAATAGATTAAAGTCTGTTGTGAAAAAAAAAAAAGATGGTGATGAGTTGGAATGTTTTGAACTTCCTTGTTGCAAAGACCAGATAATTGCCTGCTTTGATTAACTTGCATGGTTTCGGGATTCTGAGGTAAAGATGTGTAGCTGCAGCTTTGTTTTAAGCATTTCCATTCTTGAGTTCACACAGAGTGTGCGCTTGACTATCAATCAGGGAGTCTAGTGCTGTTTTAGGGATAGTGTAAGAGGATTAATGAAGAAAACTCAATGGTCGGTGACAGACTTAGTGATAGTAGAGAAATTCATGAGAACAGAGGCCATTTCTTGATTTGTATTACAGACAGGAAAGAAAGGACCCTCCACGCTGCTCCTTTCTGGACCAGCAGACTGGTCCAGTCCTAGGGAAACAGTATGTAGGTTCCTCGAAATAGTAAAAATAGATCTACCATTTGAATTTGACCTAGCAATTCTACTCCTAAGTATTTACCTGAGGAAATCAAAAACACTCATCTGAGGGGCAGGTGTACTCCTATGTCCAGTATTTACAGTAGCCGACGTATGGAAACAACCCAAGTGCTGAACAGCAGGAGAAGTGGGTTAAAAAGATGTGGATGTATCTGGTGTGATTGAGTACTACATGAGGGACCACTACTCAGCCATAAAAAGATGAAGTCTTGCCATTTGTGACAAAATGGATGGAACTGGAGGGAATTATGCTGAAAAAGAAAGGCAGGAGAAAGGCAGATGCTGATGATTTCACTCATACATGGAAAAAGGAGCTGACAAAACTAAACCCTAGAGATAGGACTGCAGAATTGAGGCTTTTGGAAGGGAACCTGGAGGGGGCATAAGAACAAAGGTATTTTTGCTACCTGGTATATAATAATCATATGTAATATATATAATATATAATATATACTTATTATATATAATAAACATGCCTTTTGGATAAAACTAAACATCTCTATCTGATGGGGGAAACTCAGCATGCCTCTGAAAGCGGAACTCTGGAACTTCTCAGAGGCAACACAAGGACCCCAATCGTTTGAACCCAATACCTTTCAGAAGTGACATCAAAAGACATCTCAAGTTGTAACAGGGTGGTCCCCAGGAAAGGGGAACTTCCAGGTTCCTTGTTCCATCTAGAGAAGGTTGGAGCTGAACTGGGAGGAGAATAATCTGGAGAGGAGACTGAGAACAAGAAAGCAGGGTGTAGAGTCAGAAGGAGCCCTGAGGGAGGCAATGGAACAGAGAGCTGTGAAGAAGCTTTGTCTTGTTTCTTGGCCCTGGACTGGTTGAAAGAGATGTGGGTGAGAGACCCATGGGGAGGTTTAACTATGGCAGTGTTTATCTTGATTTT